ACGGCACATAACAACAAGAGGTACTGGCAGAAGGTAGGCTTCCCTTTGTATCCCTGGTCTCTGATGACAAAGGAAACTTGTATGGAAGTATTTTCTATGTTCACTGAGACATCTTGAATAAGCCAAGGAGGACTACCTTATCAATTAACTGAATTTTCAGTTCCTTGTCTATAGTGCCTCTCTACCAAGACAGACAGTAAACTTGCATCAAAAGGTCACAACAGCCATGCAAGAATTATGTTTAGTAAATGGTCCCCTTTTCCCATAAATGTTTTGTGTTATTTAGAAATCTGGGACATCCTGTATTTTCCAGCATTGCCTTTATTTTTATTGCTTATTTGTATAGAGGTAGATTAAGCAAAAATATCATGATAAAATGTTCTTTTCTAAGAAAGACTCTACAGTGGCTAATGGGAGTAAGAGGGCCAGCAACTTTTGGCGAAGAAACTAAACTGTTATACCTTCAAAAATGTGTCTTAGGGAAATTAGGAAATGTGCTTCAAGTAAACTAACAAAGCTCATGAATCCTAATATACAATCATCCAGCCTGGCCAATAAAAATGTCCTAATATTTATCATTAAATATGCCCTTCGTGATGAATTTTGGAGGGAGTCATAAGAGCACTTTAAAATTTTTTTCTCCTACTCTAGGTATCTAAGGAAAAGAAAAAAGGTAAATTATTAATTGGTAAAGTTTTCATTCAAAAACGAAAATGCTTACAAGTCTATTATCCAGGTAATTTAAAACTGAGAAGCAAGGTGACACAGTGAACTAAAAAAATGACTTTCAAGAGAGCAATTCTGGCCCCCAAGTTTATTTAAAAATCTATGGCGATAATTTTTGATTCTCACAATTACAAAAGTACTCCTAAAACCTAAAAAGTAGAGCTCAAGAAAACAGCTACACATTGGAGAGTACACAGACCAGACGTCAATTACAAAATTCATCTGGCAAAAGTGTCAGTAGGACTGAGGTTGAAAACTCTAGCTTAGAGTAAATGCTCTAAAGAAATGGTTCTCAAATTCAAGGATCCATGAGGCTCATCTGGAAAGGAAGATATTTTAATTACAACAAACAGAACAGTAATACCACTGGGCAAAAAGCGAAAGTATAAAATAAGACAAAATAATAAAAAGTTATTTTTAGGCAATGGAAATTCATTAAGCAAGGGCAAATAAATTAGTGTTTATTAAAAAACAAATGCCAAGGACTACAGCAGGAATCTGCAGTCTTCTCGCCTGGATCTGTTCCCAATCTCCCTTTAAGTCTTAGCTATTAACCAAGAATTATACATCCAGCTAAAATAGAAGATTTTTCTCATCTGTCATGGATAGAATTATTCCCTCAAAAATGCATGTATGTAATAATGTAATAAGGAAGTTTTGTAATGATCTTCAATGATCTGATAAACCAAAGAGTTGTGAAAAGGTTAAGGATGGAATGCAACACCTTTTAATCCCATCACAGCCCTGTAAACATTTGCTGGAATGGAAGAGGGAGGATTTCATATCACTAAAAAAGAATCAACAGGAGCAGAATGCATCCCTTTTGAACTCAGGTCCCTGTTGAAAAGCTCTCTGACACAGGGGATGTCCAAGACACACAGAGATCTCCAAGGAATTTCAGACACACAGAAGCTGAAGACAACAATGGCCTTCATCTAGAAGTGATGAGAGAAAATATCATCTCCTATATCTAGAACCCTGAATTTGGACATTAAACCTTCTAAACTGCAAGAGAATAAATTTCTGCTTATTAAATTCATCCACTTGTGCTGTCTCTGTTATAGCAGTGCTAGAGAACCAAGACACATCCTAATGTTTGAATTAAAATCCTAAAAAATAAAGATTCTGCAGTATCTGAAACAAATAGCATTTTATAGTAAACTATAGATACCACTTTTATTTCAAAAGTCCTAGAAGAGCAGGCATCTCTTACTTTTTTTCTCCCCAGAAAGTAGCATCATGTTCCAATTGTGTGTCTTATTTGGGGCTGTCACTCACAATACCAATCTTATTATGTGCAATGAACTGGGCACATGAGGAAACCAAACCTTTTGTCCAAAACTGTTTAGTTAGACTATGGTAGATAGTCATAATGTGTTCCGTTTCAGGGAGAATGGTACTTTCCTCATGATGGGGAAGAAGGTAGTTCATTGGAAAAAAGAGCAAATCCACCAAGAAATGGAGAACAGAGCAACTGAATCCTTTGCATCAGTAATTTCTACGCCTATTATAACTTTGCCCATCTTGCTGATACATGAGAGAATTCATTTTCCTTTATATGTACTTTAAATTAGCTGTCTTTGTTTTACACCTACAGAGAAACCACATGCAAAGTAAAACATCTGAAGCAAAAAGATCCACAAAAGAACTGCATGGATGGAAAATATGATCACCATTTTGTAAGCTATTAGGCTGCTAGTGGAAAGGTCAGCATTTCAAATCTACCAGCTGGTCCAAGGGAGGAAGATGAGCATTCTCCTCCTGTAAAGGTTTACAGTCTTGGAAACCTGGCGGATGGCTGCCAGGAGTCAGAGTCAACAGTGTCACTGGATACCTGGTAACAAGCAGGTCTCAATTATGTCTATGACACCGACTTAGACATCCCACCAGAATTAGAAGCTTTCTTGGATATAGACAAGAATATTCTAATTTGTGCTAATCTCAAAGTCACATATTCTGTTATTTTCAAAGTTTATTTCTTACAATTTACCAAGTCCAAGTATGTATTCATGGAATTAATGATACCAAATGACTTAAAAAGATCATCTAAATCCATGACACACATCATTCTTTTGTAAAAGAAATGCATGCCTAAGATTGGAATTCATTTTCTTATGTAGCACAGGGATTGTTCACAGGATAAAGATTATAATTTTAAATAACTGATCTGAATGCAGACTCAGGACTATAATAATTGAAAATTATGTGAGAAGAATTTCTACACTGCAGTAACACGTGCAATGTTTAAAGCACAAAAGAACAATTATACTCAGAAAGTATGGCTTAGTGCATAAACTGATGTTCTAAAAGATCATACTATGAGATTGTCTAAGTAAATCTATTCCATCATAAATGCTATCACTACTTTAATATACTCATAAATTCATCCTGAAAAAGGCATGAGGTCCAAGCATACTTTCTAAACCCAAATCTCATAAATTCATAAAGCAAGGAAAAAGAATACATTCACAAATAATTAACTCTGAAATCACATGGCCAAAAAGGACAGTATCACCTTACTTGGAAAGCATCAACAGTTAATGAGATTTTACTGGATAACAAAGCTTTTACTTTAGCTGACTCTGATGTCTTTATCTTTTCTTTATCTACAGTGACTAGGCAAAATAAGTTAGTTTCATTTTGCACACATGGTACTTTCTGCATGCTAATGTAATACATCTCTGATTCAATCATAATATTCATTAACTAAAGTTGTATTTAGGACCTATTACTATTTAACAGTACATTGCCTTATTTCTCAAATATTTCTATTATCAAAGGACTAGAAGTTTTACAGAAAATGACAAGAAGTGACAATAAGTAAGAAATAAAGATTTACTACAATTGAACTTGATAGTGTGACGAAAATTTGTCTTTAATTCAAACAAACAGGATTAATACATAAAAGCAAAAGCTGGAACTGGAATTGTAGTATAAAAATGTTACTTTCAAAATAAAGAACTTCAGGAACAGTGGAATTATATTCCAATACAAAACAATTAAGATTAGGGTTCTGGAATTTAAAAAAATTTTCAGTGGTAACTACCTGACATACACATGAAGGGGAAAAATTCAAGTAAAAAGTAAGCAAGTTTATGAAGGAAAATATAAATTAGCACTTATGTAAGAGAATGAAGATCAATTGGGGCCGGGGAGGGAGAAATCATTCTTTCAACTAGTAGTTCATGAATATGCAGTATATGCCAGGCTATGTACAAGGCATATCAGATCCAACAGAAAAATACAGCAAAATTACTGACTTCCTGTTGTTTACATTCAAATGGCTAGTGAAAAAGCAATAAGCAAATAAATAGGAAAAAGAAAAACTAAAGTGATAGGCAGTTCATATTTACTAGGCCTATTCCAGAAACTTCAGTTCAATTAAAGGGAAGGACAATCTTTAATGGGAAAACTTAAATAACAAGGAAAACTTATCGTAATAAGTCTTTTACTGGATTATAGAACTGTCAACCATAACGGAAGGAATTTAATCAAAATCTAGACTGTACCAAATTTTAGAAAATACTTATGCTAAAGGCACTCTGCATTAGACTTTAAAGATGCACTTAATGAGCTAATAGATACTTTATCTTCTCTAATATCTGAAATTCCCGGAATAGGTTTATTCAGAGACCTATTTAATATGAACTGGTGGTTACAGTTCATATTCTATCACAAAAACATTTTCAACATAATACCACCATCTCAATTTGTATTTTTTTGTCTGACTCCCAAGGAAGGCTAGCAGATACATTAGCTAATTGGCATAACTACATTATTATCCCCATGGTTACGGGTAAATGCTTAAGGTGCCAGAAGTTTGCACACAAAAAGCAGCATTAAGGTAACATGTTCCAATATTCTATTTGTCACAAGAAATCAAACAATAATTCTCTCGAATGATTAAGCTATTAGTGATTAATTGATTTTCACAAACTTCTAGGCTACTCAGCAGTTTAAAATAACAGTAATTTTATATCAATTGAAAATTAATGTCAATTTAAAATTAAAAACAGAAATAGTAAGGGGAAAAGTTGATAGTTTTGAAAAACCATTTCTTCCCACAATTATGCTGGCTTACTTTAAAGGCATAGATGCCCATCATTTAATTCTTTATCTAAAATATTACTGACTCTATAAAAGTTTGTTGTGAAATTGGGATCATAATCATAATGATTCTTGAACTACAGTAAAATAATCAAGAAGATAAAAATGAAGAAAAGGACCAGATACTTACACTACTGGAAAGGAACTGAGCATACTTTACATGAGGCGAATCAAAAGCCTTTCAAGAGATGATCAACGTTATTTATCATTCTGTGGGAGAAAGGGACAGAGATTTTAAAAATATTTACATAAATCAGGTATCAAATAAAAATGCTACAATTTTAAGACTATTAATAGTTAACTTCACCTAATCATTTTTAAATACTGAATATATGCCATTTATAATTTAGAAACATTTGTTTGAAGCAAAATTTTAAAAGACAGGCTATTACTCCAAAATATTTATCATCTTCCATGTGAACAAGTAATGGAAATCAAACCCATGTAGTTCACTATGTTACCTGACACTCCCTAGGGAAACAGATTTGAACATGCAATTCAATACATACTACAGTGACGATCCAAGTATGCAGAATCCTATAAACATGCCCCCAACCCCCAGCATGACTGGAGCTTTCATGACCCATATGGTACTCCACTTCCTGTCCCTGAAGTTAGTGGGAAGCTCCTATCCCACTTTCAGTGCAAGCTGTCACCTCACTTGGGCCTATATAATTCTATGAATCTGAAGATACAGTTCTCATATCTCACCCAACACCAGCCCAACAGAAAGATCTCTCAGGATGTATGTGTGCCCTTAATCATATAAATATCTGTATTACTGCAAAAAAATGTTTCCATTTCAATCAAAATCTCAAAATACCTTTTACTTTGATAATAAAATGGCTTCAACAACAGTTAAAAAAGTATTTCAAAGCAGAAAATAATTCCATCCTGAAGGGATTAACCCTAGGGTAAACTTTGAGGTGGAATTTCACTCATATTTTCAATAATCTTGAATGAATTACAATTTCTCTAAGTCTCAGAATCCAAATCTATAAAGCAAGAATAAAGAACAACTATTTTAAAAATCTAATATAGGAATTAGGAGAGGAAAACAGTTCAATGGGGGTGATATATTTTTGTAATTGATTAAATGGAAAGGAACTACTACTACCAATTTTGAGAAGACATGAACAATTATGTTGCAGTTGTTGTTACGTGCTGTTGAGTCACTTGCAACTTACAGCGACCCTATGTACAACAGCCTTAAACCTTGAGCTATCCTGTGCTAATCTTACTGTCTCCGACACACCTACTCCCATTACCCCAGTCACTGAATCAATCCATCTCATCGAGGGTCTTCCTCTCCTGCACTGTCCCTCCACCCTCCCAAGGATGAGGTCCCTCTCCAAGGACTGATCCTGTAGCCTAACATTTCCATCTTCATTTTTTCATTTTACTTCTTTATCCAAGACTTAGAGAAGTTAACTCCTTTCAATTCAAGACAGATTTCAACAATAATAAAATAATAATCATGCTTTAGGGGTTAAAGATCATGTGTTAGCTATCGTTCATGGTTTGGGAGTTTCAGAATCCTAGCCTCCAAGGAGAAACAGGACTTCAGCCTAAGACAGACCTATTTGTTAGGTGCTGTTAAGTCAACTATGTCTCACAGCAACCGTATTAACAGTGAATCTGAACCCTGCCCTACACTGTGCCATCTTTATCATCCCAGCTGTACTTGTACCCACAGTTTTTTGTTTTTTTGTTGTTTTTTTTTTCCTAGATGGTTTTTATAGTGTATTTTAAAACAGTCCTAGGCAGGAATATCATAATTTCAAAGTCAAACTCAACATCATCTTCCATTCAATCTGCATCCCCCAAAAGAGTGGCAGGGTGAGGGAGAACAGATCAATTCTGCATTATATACATACTTCCATTTATGAACATTTGAAAACAGACTTTCTATACATGTATTAAAGTTACATAATTTGGGCAGTTGGCCAGGAGGGACCAGTTCTTGGATAAAGACATCAAGTTTGGAAGGGTGGAGGGTCAGAGCAGGAGGGGAAGACCTCTGATGAGATGGACTGATACAGTAACTGAGGCACTGGGGGTAGGTATGTCAGAGTCGGTGAGACTGGCTCAGGACAGGGCAGGTTTTAAAGCTGCTGTACCGAGAGTTGTTATGAGTCACAGGTGACTTGACAGCACATAACAACAGTAACAATGAAAGGAAAAGTGTAGCTCTGGTAGTTCAGTATTAAGGAGTCCTTCCAACCCAAAGGAAGGTGATTATAAGCCACCAGCTGCTCCTCTTGATAAAGATAAGCAATCTCTTCCCATGTGATAAAGTCTCATAGAGTAAAAACTTAGAAACTAGCTTAAAGAGTTGTAGAGAGACTTAAGAGTGGAATCTAAGCTCTTATCTGATGATTATATGACTTCCACCAAACCAAGATGTGGAAGGAAGTGAGAATATAGAAAAGATTCCAATGAGAACCCAGAAATCAGCCCATCTACGTATGGTCAACTGATTTTTGACAAGGAAATTAAATCAGTTAAGTGGGGAAACAACAGCCTTTTTAACAAATGGTGCCGGCAAAATTGGAAAACTATCTGCAGAAGACTCAATCAAGATCCACACCTCCTTCCTTTTCAAAAACCAACTCAAGGTGGATCATGGATCTAGGACTAAAATCAAGGACTATAAACTTCATTAAAGAAAAGCTTGGGAGAATTCTAGTAGTCCTAATCCAGAACATAAACAGTCTTCCAAGTATCCTGAAAAATCTACAACCAGGAGAAGATAAAATAGATGAATGGGACCTTCTAACAATCAAATCCCTATGCACATCCAAAAACTTCTCCAACAGGGTAAAAAGGGAAGCCACAGGATGGGAAAAAGTGTTTGGTAATGACATATCAGATAAGGGACTTATATCTAGAATTTATAAAATACTTGAGCACCACAACAAGATAAAGGTAAATAATCCAATTGAAAAATGGGCACAGGATATGAATAGACACTTCATCAAAGAAGACATTCAGATGGCCAACAAGCACATGAAGAAATGTTTAAAATCCCTAGCTCTAAGAGAGATGCAAATCAAAACAACTATGAGATATCATCTCACCCCAGTCAGAATAGCAAAATTTAACAGAACAGCAAGCAACAAATGCTGGTGAGGTTGTGGGAATGTAAAATGGTGCAACCACTGTGGAAGGCGGTATGGCGCTTTCTCAAAAAGTTGCAAATAAAGATACCATTTGACCCAGCAATTCCACTACTGGGAATATATCCCAAAGAGACCATAACTGACATCCAAGCAGATATATGCACACCCATGTTTATTGCAGCTCTGTTCACAATAGCAAGGAGTTGGAAACAACCCAGGTGCCCATCAACAAACGAATGGATAGAGAAGCTGTGGTATAGTCACACAATGGAATACTACGCTGCATTGAAAAACAAGAAACTCATTCAATATTATTCAAAATGGGTGAGCCTGGAGGACATTATGCTGAGTGAAATATCTCAGTCGCAAAAGGACAAATATTGCATGGTGCCACTGCTGTAAAATGGGACTGATATCAGGGTTTGGGTAAGACTGAGAAAAACTGGATAAATTGTGTATACTGCACTGAAACAGATGAGGGACTGAATAATTTCAAAGCGATGTATGATAAGGTATTATGGTTATCACAAGAGTCCACAATTAAGGATGTATAGTGGAATGTACTTGGGGCGGTGGGAGGAGTGCGGGGGGATTGTGTACCAGGGAGGGAGTCTTTCTTTTACTTTTGAAAGAGAGGAGTGAACTGGGGAGCAGGGGGGAGAGGGCTGGGCAGGTAAAGAAGTGCAGCAATGAATGAATGGAAATCCAAATTCTCTGTAAATGTTCATTAAAATTATTTAAAAAAATAAGAAAATGTAAACAAAATACTAATAATGAAAAAAATCTAAAAATAAATAAATAAATAAAAAATTTTTAAAAAAAGATTCCAAGTAGAGAGGAGGAGATTTTGAGGTATGATTTGGGAGTAACAAGTAGATTGTGCTACCAGTCTTTAACAAAGTATCAAAAATAAACAGGCTTAAAACAGGAGACTTCTCCCATTGATGGAGAGCCCATTAATACCTGGGAGAAGACCTCAATCCTTTTTTATAGACATGACGATCATGCTACAATTGAATTAAGAGAATCTAGGTAGAAATTACCCAACACTCTCACTTTGCGAATCAAGAAACTAAAGAGTAACTCACTGATACAGAATGGAATTACAACAAACCATGGTACATATGTCTATACTGAAACACACTCCTTGTAATAAATACACATATATTTCTACATTAAACATACACACACATGTATAGGGAAAAGATAAAATTTAGCATTGAAAATGTCTAGAAATGGTTGATCAGAGACCCTTATGTACAACAGCTCTGAACCCTCCTCCTTTTAGGTTTGAATCATAAAAATGTCATTTAATATTTTAAGTGTAAATAAACTTTAAATTTTTATCAAAATATCCTAAGAACAGAAGACCAAGCAAACAACATGCTTTGATTACCTACCCTCAGACTCAGTTTCACAAACTTATCAATATTTAGAGATGTTTTAAGAGTTGTTGGTTTTGGGGTTTTTGGTGGTTTTTGTTTGTTTTTTTAGGAAACATGAGTCTAAGAATTAAGGAAAAATATGTATTATAGGGTATTAGCAAGAAAAGCCTATTGCTGCTGGACATTTAGACTTTTAGCTATAAAATATATGTAATTTGAGGAAAACAAAGGCAAAAAAGTAGACATCTTACAGAATTTCTCATTTGCTTTACTTAAAACAGAGCTGAATTATATTTTTGAACTGATGAGAAAGAACTCTTTATCAACAAAGATTATACTTAGGCATACAAAAAATAATTACAAATATGTAAGAATTCAGAGTGTATTTTTTTCCTCTGTATTCCAACTAAGAACTGAAAAAAGAGATCTAAGTAAAGAAAAACCAGAACAATGGCATATGACAAAAAAAGATTACTAGAAAGGGTAATACTGTAAGCAATGAAACTTCAAAACTTATTTCCTATAATAGACATTTACCTATTATAAAAAATTTAAGAGTGTATAGGCTTAAATGATAAATAAGGTTTTTTGAGATAATATTTCATCACAAAAAAAAATTCAGTAAGTTTCTACACAAGATTGAGAAAATGCTCCATCTACAGTGAGGCACTTAGGAGTAAAAGTCTTCCCAAGTTCTCAGGGA